TCACAGGATCCAGAGTGAAGATGGGAAACATATTTTATTTCTTTAGGCTACATGCAGTGAAAGTTGACTTTGGACAGGGTCAACTGGAAAATAGCACCACTAATGAGAAATGTCAAACTAACAAGAATGGTACTGAAAGTGACTACAAATATAGCTCCCTACGAAAACTGTGTGTCTATATATTTTTTTGTTTGTATTAAGGCAAGTTTGGGGGGCCATTGTTTTGTATCATTTGGAGCTTTTTGGTATTTTAGGTTCGGGGGAGATTTTGCAAGAGGGAAAGGAAAATTTGGCTTAGGAGATATCTTATTTCATACTGAAAATGGTATGTTTTTATCTTGTTTTTTTTTTTTTGTTTGTGTGTTTGATTTTTTTGAAAGGTAACCAAAATCCAAACCAAAGACTTGATTAATTTAGGGCAGAATAATAATCATGCCATCAACTACTAGTTTTGAGCACGATGTGCTGGGCACTCAGCTGGGTGACTTATGCATATCTTTGTACTTTTTATTCACATAATTCCTCTTAGAAAACATTATCCCATTTGCAGATTAGGAAGCAGGCTCAGAGAGGTGAACTTATTCTAAATTTATTGCTAATAAGTGAGAAAGCCAATATTCTTTTTTTTTTTTTTTTTTTTTTTGAGACAGAGCCTCAAGCTGTCCCCCTGGGTAGAGTGCTATGGCTTCACTGCTCACAGCAACCTCCAACTCCTGGGCTCAAGCGAGTCTCTTGCCTCTGCCTCCTAAGTAGCTGGGACCACAGGCGCCCGCCACAACGCCCGGCTATTTTTTGGTTGCAGCCGTCATTGTTGTTTGGCGGGTCCGGGCTGGGGATTCGAACCCGCCACCTTAGGTGTACGTGGCTGGCGCCTTAGCCGGTTGAGCTATAGGCGCCAAGCCGAAAGCCAATATTCTAACCCTCACTTTTTTCCACTCACCACGAGGGTCTAAAACGAGTAAAAAAAGGCAGGATGGCAGATAAGTGACAGCAACAGAGATAAGAGGAGACTAAAACTAGGAAAAGTAAGAAAGGAGACAAGTGCTGAGAACGAGAAGGCATTCTTTAGCCTGGTAGGGCTCTGTAGAGAGGCAGTGTCGTCAGCAACCATGACCATCCTATGTCATCGTGGCTGATGCTCTTGAGTCCTGGGGACATCTGAGCAGTTTATAGAGTATCTCTGGAGGGCTACATCAGCTACATCAAAAGCACAGGGTATGTCCTGTCAGCTTCCAGGAGCTAGAAGGAACTAAAATTGGAATAACTTAAATTTACATGTAAATGCGTCCTAAATGTATATATACTAACTTTACCTTGGCTTTGCAGAAAACAAACAAAAAAAAACAACTGTACTTTTAATTCACTGGAGAGCAGATAGGATCTGTCCTGGGATGAGTAAAACATACACCACTTGTCCAAATGTAAGAAAAAAAACAGCCGCTTTTTTCTTGCAAGGCAGTTTTCATAACACAAGAATCTGTCACCATGTGTACGAATGCTGATGTTCACCAGAAGAATATAAGTCATGTCTAATATTTATTGAGTAATTATTGTGTGCTGAGTGATTTATTTGTATTTAATGATCAAAAGGAACCTCAGAAGTTGATACTATGAATATCACCACTAAAGATATAAAGCTGAGGCTCAGCAAGTTAAAAAACCTGAGGTCATGTGGCCAATAAGTAGAAGAGCTGAGATTTGAACCCCAGCCCTGGGTCGTAGCAATACACTATGCAGACATTCCTCGTAGAGTGACTGTAAACGCATAGCCCCAATAACTCTTCATTTTTTAACATTAGCACTTTAAGAAAGAAAAACAGGGAGGGGGGGGAAAGCAAAGATAATTATAGTTGTTCCCTGGTAACCAAGGTGGATTAGTTCCAGGACCCCTACCTCTACCCACCCCCAAACCAAAATCCACAGATGTTCAAGCCCCTGATATAAAATGGCGTAATATTTGCATACAAACTATGGACATCTTGTCTTGTCTTATACTTTAACTCATCTCTAAATTACTTAAATCCTGTAATAATGTAAATGCTATGTAAGTCATTGTCATTCTGTATGTTTTTTACTTGTGATTTTTCTTTATTTTCCAAATACTTTTGATTCACATTTGGTAGAATCTGGGGGTACAGCACATGTGGATACAGAGAGCCAAGTGTACCCTAAAACTAGTACCAGCTCTAAAAGAGAAAGAAGGAGGGGCAGAGGTGGTAGGAAGCGCCAGTGACCAGGGAAGGAATCTGTGGTAAAGGATGGGGGAGAAAAGATGGGCCAAAAAGATATGAATGTGAAATTTTGGAAAATGAAATCAAAGTGCACGTAGCCTAAAAAGGAAAGGAGGAAAGTTCTCGTAAACCTTTAGAACAGAGAATGAAAATTACTGTACATAATTTTCACACTTCAGGGTTTACACTTCAAGGTTGAAGTTCAGGTTTAAATGAACTGATGATTTTTGTCTTTTTTTTTGTTTGTTTTGTAATTTACCTTTTCTATTTCTAATTTTGTGGCTACAATGACCCATTCAACTCAGCCTTTGGAATTGATACTGTTTGTTCTAATGGTTTCTCTGAGTAATGCTAAGTTCCACTCTGCAAGGTTAGTGTCTCAATGAAAGGTGGGGGTGTTATTTAGTCATTTTTTTTTTCCTCTTGAAAGTTAATTAAGTCAACATTAACCATGGCTGTGTAACAGCTGAATGGTCAGTTTCTTGAAGGCTCATGGTTTGGATCTTTTCCTGTGAAAATTCCCACTTGTATAGTTATATTTAGTGTCCTAACTGCCTGAATAGCTGGCTTGCTATAGGCCCGTGTGTCAGGGCGACGCCGGGCCTGCTTGCAGCCGACTTTGTCTGCTTCCCTGGAACCTCTGTGCCAGGAGCTTGTGGCTCTCAGTGGAGAGCCTGCTGAGTTCAACCTCTCAGTTTCTTCTCCAGAAATCTCCCTGGGGTTAGCACTGCTGATGTGATGCCATGTGGTCCTGCAATTCTCAAAACTGTTGACTTGATGTTTACAATTTTTTAAAGACTCATCCATGCGCTTAACTCTGAAAGTAATATAGTATCCTCAACATTTGTGGTATGGACCTATCCCGATGACTTTGTTTACATGGATGTGATTGATGTGATTGAATTTTTCAAGTACTGCCCCTGCACAAAAGCCAGTTTTTCAATGTCAGTACAGCTGTTTTAACTTTTAAGAAACCGCAAACATTTTATCCTCTAAAACTTCAATTTCGAAAAGCATCGACTTCTTAAAGGAATACGGTGTTTCTGAAACTGGTATACAATAGTCCCTCTAGTTCAGCTCTTCTTTAACTTTTTTTTTCCTTCTTTCTTTTTTTTAAGCCAGTCAAATTTAGCAGTTGTGGGGTGGGGGGTTGAATACCACTTTAGAGGTAGTCATGTTAATAACCAGCTTCTTCTTTAACTTTTAAGAGTTGACTAAATCTCCTGAGTAGCTACATATAAACTTTCCACATCAAAATGCATATTACGGCTGAATTCCTAATAATCTTTAAAGTCCTAAGTTTATAATAGAAGCAGTACTCACAGAAACAAAAAGTTAACTGTAGCTCAGTTCTCATGAGCTCTCCGTAAGCTTGGTGAATTTTCCGTGGACGCAGAAGCAGAGATGCCAGAGGAAACAGTTGTGTGTTTTCCTGGGTTCATAGTGCCCAACAAGTCATGGTAAATGTTTTGCTCCTTTTTTTATGCTATAGCAACAATTCCATTTCCTATTACATAGGAAAACCTATCCTGCTGTTAAAAGAGGTCACTGGATGTATTTACTACAACGTTAAGGCCATTTTGTCCATGGAAATAATTTTTATTGTTCTGAGTCACTCTGGTTCATGGAATTTTTACATGAGTTCCAGGACAAGGATGAGATGATGTATTTATTTTACTTTGTATCCTTTTTAATGTTTTTTTGAATGCATGAATGTCAGGCTTGTTGTCAAAGTATTTCCATATTTTTATGACTGTAAAAGTAACTCTGCTCTATTTATGTCTCATAAACTCTTCATTGACAATTCACTCTGTGTACTCAACATGCCGTATTTTGGCAGAACTTTCTGCTTTGCCCAGTGTGATGTGATCTCTTGTTTTTTCCCCCTATTCATGTCTTTTCAATGTATGTCTTTACCACGCTAAAGATTTGGCAGGCCTTCAAAACTATTTAAATTCCTTTGTTGAGCTGATAGGACTTAGAATTGTGAGCTTTTTTTTTTAAGCCTCAACTTTTTTTTTCTTGTATCAAAGTAATCTTCACTGGAAGTGTTCCCTAATTCCTCCCAGAATATCTCTGTGTTTTAGACACACCCCAGAATCATAGAATTTCCCTGAAATTCATTTTCAAATATTCTTTGGTTTGATTGTAATTGTTGTATTTGTTTATCACCTCCAGGAGACTAAGTTTTAAAGGATAGATAATTCTGTTAACTATGTAGCATAAACTCAAGTAACAGTTTAGATTTACAGAGAAGCAGTGGCTATTCTGACATTTTAGAAAATCCTTTTAATAGAAAGCAATGACTGTCGTATGGGTTGAGATTTCAAGTCACTAGTTATGGTCACTCATATTCTTTCTATAGCTTACTCTCTGTATGTTTAATTCTGACTAAATGACTAACTCACATGAGGTTTAAAGTTAAAGCTTGTACCTTCTGGCCAGGGTAGGAGGGTTAGATCCTCTACTTCCGCCTTCCAGACTTGGGTACTCTAACGGGTCAGCCTTCCCACAGAAAAAGGGATGATGATATTGACTCCGCCTTAATCTAGAAGGGAAGAAAATGGGCACTTCTAACCGATAATTTCTTCTATCACAAATGATCTCAATTAGTCCTACACTGTGCTACACGTGTTCATATATTCCCAAGTATGGGTGCGTATTTGTGTGTGCATGAGAGAATGAGGTGGTCTTTAGAGGTTTTAGGTAGTTGGTTCTCCTTGTCAGGAAATGGTAGGTTATTCATCTGAGTCATTTTCTCTTCAACAGGTTGACATGATGAAAGAAGCATTAGAAAAACTTCAGCTCAATATAGTAGAGATGAAAGATGAAAATGCGACCTTAGATGGTGGAGATGTCTTATTCACGGGTATAGTTGTATTTATTTTTTCTACCCCCAAATATTTTTTGTCCTTGGCCTGTCTTCACTGGTTTTATTGTAGTTTTTTAAAATTGCCAAAGTAATAGATGCTAACTGCAGGGTATTTGGAAAACACAGAAGAGAACCATAAGAAAAAAAAAATGACTTTTCCATTCAAATAGAATCCCTTCAATATTTGGGTGTATGTCTTTTGTGTACTTTTGTATGTATATATTTGCATGTTTTTATACAACTAGTATCCATCAGTACATCATCAGTATGTGTCTTGTTTCTATATAGAGTTCTACGAAATAATTTATGGGTAGGGTGGCAGAGTTTTTCCATTGTCTGACTATTTATCTGGTTTGTATTGAAAGAATTCTTAAGACTAGTGTTATTTACAAATAATGTGCTTCCCAGATGGCAAGATAAATTTAAATAATTTTCTTTGCAAATTAACTTGGCTTAATGCCATATGAATAAAGCAGAACTCAATAAAATTATAAGCAGTTAATATTATTATTGATCTAAAAAGAATCAGTTTTTACTATGTATGATGTGGCTACTAAAGAAATAGTAATTTCAGCATTTAACCTATCTAATTCATCATGATCAGATGATTAGTGTTTTGTAAAATCACTTGTAAAATCTGAATCCGCAGATTCATTCTAGTTATACTGATGAGCAAAATGGTCGATAATAATTTTGGTTTATAGGGAGAGGTTATTTTCCCCTAATTGTCAGAGAATAAATACCTATTTCACCAATACAGCCCTAACAGCAAAGGGATTTGAAAATGTAGCCCCAAGTGGTCTACTTGTGGCTTCTTGGAAATCTCATGTTTTTAGCTGCTGTGAATTTTATATTGACTCCCCTGTGTGTATATAACCAAGATACAGCCATCTTTATTTCAATAGAAAAATAGTGTTTTGTCTTACTTACATTTGGATATAATTAATGTTCCTGGAAGAAGAACGTGGTGTTTATCCTGTGACATTTGAGTAGCTCCTTGCTTGGTGTCCTGACCTGTTGAAAGGGCCAAGTGTAGAGACCTGCCCAAATAGAACTGTCTCGCCCAGAAAGGACTGTCTACCCAGGAAGCAATGAGACATGAACTTCCATTCATGTCTCAGAAGAGCCTCTCATTTTCGGTCCTTAACCCCTCACCTGTACCTGTGGGTGGGGCTGTTGTGTTGCCAACTCAAGAGATACCATTCTCAAATGTCTTGACTCAATAACTAAGAAAATGACATGAAGGTTATGTTAACCAGTTTGATGAGAGTATTTCAAAATGTATGTGAAAACAGCACACTGTACCCCATGATTGCATTAATATACATAGTTGTGCTATAAGAAATTAAAAAAAAAAAGACACACAACTTCTTATCAGGAGTTGTGTGAATAGTATTCCTTGGAGTTGTGCACGGCACAGCTGTGTTGCCACCGCCTCAGGCGGCGGCCTGCCTCTGGGGGTGGTGTGCATACCCACTGAGCCCTAAGAACACAGAACAAGGGGTCAAGAAGACCTACGCTGCATTCTCGGCTCTGGGTGTGACCACGCAGACTCAGGCATTCTTTGAATCTGCCTCTAAGTTCCATTTAGAAAATTCTTTGTGTCTCCCATTGATGACACTTTCATTCTTTTTGGCTTCATGGAACAATAGCCTATTCCTCTAAGAAAATAGGCTTTTGTGAACATCTAGATTTATAAATCACACTTCCTTACAATATAATTCTTTTTTACCAGAACGTAGCCATAGAATGAATAACTTATTGTAAGCAGGTACTGATAACATTTGGAAGATGGTTTAACAAGTTTGTTCAGAGCCATTTCCTTATCTTAACAGTGGAACTGAACAGACCCCCTAAAATCTCCTCCATGCAAAGGCCCCATTCATAGTAGACATCTTTGGATTAAAGTTCCTTCCATAGTATCTCAAGATGTTTGTGACCCACCTTCATTTAGGTCCTAAGCATTGAAGCTTGCCTTTGCTACCATCTGTAGACTTTTAAAACGTATAACACTTAAATTCATGTCTTAATAGTTACTTTGCTCAAAACTGAGGTGACACTGGGATATCTTCGCCTGCTTGGCACCTCATTCACAGATTATGTCTGGTCCTGCCTTCCATATTTTACTCACTTTGATTCTTTTTTATTGTGCATAAACACATCTAACATAAAATTTACCATATGAACCATTTTCAAATGTACAAGTCAAGTGGCGTTAATTATAGCCACAATGGCTCGGCGCCTATAGCTCAGCCGGCTAAGGCGCCAGCCACATACACCTAAGGTGGCGGGTTCGAGTCCCCAGCCCGGACCCGCCAAAACAACAATGACGGCTGCAACCAAAAAATGGCCGGGCGTTGTGGCGGGCACCTGTGGTCCCAGCTACTTGGGAGGCGGAGGCAGGAGACTCGCTTGAGCCCAGGAGTTGGAGGTTGCTGTGAGCTGTAATGCCAGGGCACTCTACCCAGGGGGACAGCTTGAGGCTCTGTCTCAAAAAAAAAAAAAAAAAAAATTATAGCCACAGTGTTGTGCAACCATTACCACCCAACTGTTGGACTGGGAAGAATTGGGTAAAAAGAATCCATAAGACTTTGTGTGTGCCCGGTGTCTGTCCTTTTTCTTCTGTAACTCACAGCTTCATTCATAATTTATCAGGAAACAGACAGAGGAAAGCTGCTTTCCAACGGCAGTTCCTGCCGGAAAATGTGTCAGTCAGACGAGCGGCTACCGGCAAAAATTGTTTCAATCCCATTTCTCTTAAATAAACAGCATCAACTGATGTCTACTTTTTATTTATTTATTTATGTTTGTGTGTGAAATATAGAGTACATTGAAAAAGGGTTATAAAATGTTTATGTACAGTTAAAAGACCAATAATAAATACCTGCATGCCCACCACCTGGCTTAAGAAATAGAACATCAGGGCAGCGCCTCTGGCTCAACAGAGTAGGAGTGCTGGCCCCATATACCAGAGGTGGCAGGTTCAAACCTGGCCCCAGCCAAAAACTGCAAAAGAAAAGAAAAGGAAAGGAGAAAGGAAAGGAGAAAGGAAAGGAGAAAGGAAAGGAAAGGAAAGGAAAGAGAGAGAACATTGTCAGGGCCACAGAAGCCCCTGTGTGGTCCCCCCAGCCTGTCCCTCTTCCCAGCTTCAGGTCACCTCTGCCCTGAATTTTGTGTTGGCCATTGCTTTGTCTTTCTTTGAGTTTTACCTCTATGTATGTATTCCTAAATTATATGTTGTTTTCTTTTGCTTGTCTTATATCTTTATATTATTAGAATCACACTGTATAAACTCTTAGTGCGATTTTTCCACTTTTGCTCTAAGTCGATGGGTGTAGCTATAGTTCATTTTCAATGTTGTGTGTACTCTGGTAAGAAAACACCACAATGTATGTATTCATTTTATTGCTAATGTATATTTGAGTGTTTCCCCTTTTTTTTCTTCTATTATTGTCAATGCTGCTATGTAAATTCTTGTGTGTGTCTCCTGGGGATACATATAGGCGTTTCTCTAGAGTAAATACCTAGAAACAAATTTCAAGCTAACCTCCATTTTGCTTCAATGAGATGGTTATATGATTTTCCTCTTTCATCTGTTGATGTGGTTAATTACATGAATTGATTGTCTGTTATTTGACCAGTCTTGTGTCCCCGGGATGAAATCAAATTTGATCACGATTTATTCCCTTTTTAATCCAGTGTTGCATTTAGTTTGCTAATATTTTGCTCTGTTATTTTCGTGGCCTATAATTTTTTTCATTCTTGTTTGTCCGGTCTGGTTTTTATTAAAGATTTATGTTAGCTTCATAAAATCTATTAGGTAATGTTTTCTATTTTTCTATTCTCTGGAATCAGTGCTATTTGAATTGTGTATTTCTTAAACTTTTGGTAGAACTTAACGTATAAACAGGCTCTGGTGCTTTCTTAGTGGGGAGATTTTAAACTGATTGAGTTTATTTAATTGTTATATGACAATTTAGGTTTTCCTAAGTCAGTTTTGGTGCATTCCATTTTGGAAGAGTTTATCTTTCTTGTCTAAGTTTGCGAAATGTTGGGTATAAAATTATTTATGTCTTCATAACATCTGTTTAAGCATCAGAGCTTTGTTTTCTGCCAGAGCTTTTGTCCATGTTATTCATCTTTCCAAAGGACCAACTATTAGCTTTGTTCAGCCCTTTCTTTTGAATATTGCTTTCTGTTTCTATCTTTCTCTCCTGCCTTCAAATTTCTTTCATTGTATTCTGTTCTGTTCTCCCTACATCTCAAGTTAGAATGTTACCTCATTAATTTTGAAACTTTCTCCTCTAATGAAAGCAATTTAAGTCTGTAGAACTTTCCTTCCAAGGCCTGCTTTAGCAGAAGCCTTGTTTTGATATGAATTTTTTATCATTTAGTTTAAATGTTTTCTAATTTCTATTATGATTTATTATTGACCGTTAGTGGGAAATGATGTTTTGAAAAAAAAAAAAAAAAAAGTATTGGTCACTATTCCAAGTTTCTGGAACACTAACTCATCGCTCTCATAATTGCTGTGACAAAGGAAAGACTCAAGCATTTAGCCTCTTCCCTTTATGAATTCTATTTCAATTTGACCAAATACTTGATTGAAGAAAGATTTGTTTTTTTAGAATTCCAGCCAGTAAACGTAGATCTCCAATAAAATAACAGATGTGTGCCATGACTGTCGAGGATATCAAAACCATTAGAAATCTTGATGGGAAACTTCATAATGGAGGAGTCAGGCTGATGCCACCAGAACCTACTGATCGTTCTATCACTGAAAATGTGCTAATTAGTCATGTTCCCCATGACATGAAATGGTAGAGGTACCGCACCCCCCTCTGGAGTAATCCTATCCAAAAAAAAAAAAAAAAAAAATTGAATGAAAATCTAATCAATCATCTATTTGAAACTACTAGTTTATTGAAATGCAAAGGATAAACAATCTCAATGTTAAATGTTATGGGGAAGTAATCAGCTAAACCCAGAATGTAGGATAGTCATTAGGACAATGGCCTGTAAACACTGAAATAGAAAGGGGTGGAGGGACCCAAACCACGAACTGGCATAGAAGAAAAGGACACAGAGATTTCAAATTCAAAAGACTAATTTTTTAAATATGTCAGTTTCAGAATTTGTGTTGTTTCCATCAGAATGGTCATTTAGGGGATCTCGTCCAACATCCTGCTGACGCTGTCCAGCTAACTTTAAACAGCCACACTTATCTCTGTGCTTTCCTGTCATACTTCAATCTTTTAGGATGGAAATCGTATGCATATTGACTAATAAACTTGTTAGAACTTGCTTAATACATGAAATATTTTTCTTAAAATTTGTGTATAAATCTAATTTATAAACTTATTTTTATCTTGAAAGAATTAGAGAAACTTGATTTTTTTTTTATCATGGCTGACTTTTTTTTTTACCAAGTAATACTTTTTGTCAAGTAAATGACCTCTCCCTAATTTAATTTTTTATTAATTTATATTTTTGAGACAGAGTCTCACTTTCTTGCTCTCAGTAGACTGCTATGGCATCATAGCTCACAGCATCCTCCAATTCTTGGGCTTATGCGATTCTCTTGCCTCAGCCTCCCAAGTAGCTGGGACTACAGGCGCCCACCACAACGCCTGGCCATTTTTGCAGTTGCCACTGCTGTTTAAGCTGGCCAGGGTCAGTTTCAAACCCACCACCCTCGGTATATGGGGCTGGTGCCTTACCCACTGAGTCATGGGCACCACCCCCTAATTTAAATTTTGATCTTTATGTAGTGAGTTTTCTTAAAGGACAACATAATCATACCATTTACAAAAACATTGTCAACGTGCCACAAAAGATTCCTGGGTCTGCCAACAGCATAAGCCCTTGGAATTTGTCATAACATCACTTGACCTATGTCCTTTTATAAGGACATCATGAAAATTAAAGTTACAACATTTGCAAAGTCTATCAAACAATTCCTTCCACGTGGCTACTCTCCTAGTTTTCCATAATGCCTTGAGGCAAAAAGATACCGATTTCTCATTGAATATTTTTTCTCTATGTTTCATGTGGAATTCTTTTTCAAGGAATTAAGGGAAGATGAGAATCCCCATATTTATGTATTGCCTAACCTTTTCGACTGTAATTGTTTGCCTGTAACTAAGAGACCATTTTTATCTAGTATTTTAACTGCAGACTTTGAAAAAAGTCAAATAAGAGAGTTTCATCATCTAAAACTCTGGTCCCCAAGCCCTGGGCCCCAGACTGGTCCCAATCCAGTTAGGAGCCAGGCTGCACAGCAGAAGGTGAGCAGCGAGCCAGCAGGCAAAGCTTCATGGGTATTTATAGCGGTTCCCCATCACTTGCGTCTCCACCTGAGCTCCACCTCTTCCCAGATTAGCAGTGACATTAGGTACTTAGATGAGTAGAAACTCTATTGTAAAGTGTGCATACAAGAGAGTTAGGCTGCAGCTTCCTTATGGGAATCTAATGCCTGGTGATCTGAGCTGGAGCTGAGGACATAGCAACACACTATGGAGGTCTCCGTCTCCCATCATCCCCAGATGGGACTGTCTAGGTGCAGGAAAACAAGCTCAGGGCCTCCACTGATTCTACATAACATGTGAGTTGTGTAATTATTTCATTATATATTAGAATGTAATGATAGTAGAAATAAAGTGCTCAATAAAAGTAATGAGTGTGAATCATCCTGAAACCACCCCCACCCCAGTATGTGAAAAAATTATCTTCCCTGAAACCGGTCCCTAGTACCAAAAAGGTTGAGGACCGCTGCTCCAAAACATTAGAACTTTTTAGATAGGTATCTTTTGATTTGAAATAAATATAGTTTTAAAGTCATTTTAGAGTTCAGACTTGAAGACCAATTAGTCTAGCCTAACTTCACCCAGCTGGTTTCTTCAGGCTTCACGTGATATTATAAGAAAAGGGATCTTACCTCATCAAGAAGGTCTAGTTGGGTGGTGCCTGTGGCTCAATGAGTAGGGCACCAGCCCCATATACTGAGGGTGGCAGGTTCAAACCCAGCCTGGCCAAACTGCAACAAAAAAATAGCTGGGCGTTGTGGGGGGCACCTGTAGTCCCAGCTACTCAGGAGGCTGAGGCAAGAGAGTCTCCTAAGCCCAGGAGGTGGAGGTTGCTGTGAGCTGTGACACCAGAGCACTCTACCAAGGGCAACAAAGTGAGACTCTGTCTCTAAAAAAAAAAAAAAAAAAAAAAAAAGAATGTCTAGTTGGGCATCACTTGTGACTCAGGAGTAGGACACCAGCCCCATATACCAGGGGTGGCGGGTTCAAACCCGGTCCTGGCCAAAAACTGCAAAAAAAAAAAAAAAAAAAGGAATGTCTAGTTGTTTTTTAAGGAAATAAAAAGATGATTCAGTAAGTTCTCACTTAACGCCATTGATAGGTTCTTGGAAACTGCAACTTGAAGCAAAATGACATAAAACAAAGCCAGTTTTGCCATAGGCTAATTGATGCAAATAAGAGATAAGTTTCCAGCATGTATCCATTTCCACAGAACATCACAAAATGTCTGAATAAAATCCCCAAACATTTCTAATATGAAGCATTGAAATAAATGTAAGCTATGCATATATTTAAGAAAGATTAAGAAAAACTAGTAAGGGAAGTATTCACATAATTTGGGGTACAGCAGTGAGTGGTTGGGAAGGTGGTTGGGAAGGTGGTTGGGAAGGTGGTTGGGAGGTGGTTGGAAGGTGGTTGGGAAGGTGGAATGACTGTGTGCAATGTGAAAATTTTAAGGAGCATCTCCTCCTACAACACAGGTGAAAAATGAACAACCACAAAGCTGAGCACTGAACACACCACATCGTGGATCATTGTGCATCTCTGTAACAACCGCAGATGTTACGAATTCTTATTTAATAATACAGTCATCTATATCCAATTCATTCATTTATTTTCTAACCTGCTCCCTCCAGGTCGAGGTCACAGATGGCTGGGTCCTATACCAGCAGTTCAGGGCACAACAGCCAGGATGCCACCCATTGCAGGGCACAGTCACACACGCCCACATCACTCAGACATGCCAGTTCACCTAAAGCGCACAGGCTTTGTTGGGATGTAGGAGGAAACCATAGTACCCAGAGAAAACCCACATAGACAGTGGCACTGGGCAGGCATTGATTTTTTCCTTTCTCAAGAACATTAAGACCAAGTGATATCGAACAAAACGATGTTATTTAATTATTATTTAATGGTATACTGCTAACTTGTCATTGGTATTACTTAAGTTCTGATGACAGATTATTAATGTGTTTCATTTTATTATCGACTAAATGAAAAATTCATTCCTTTCTTTCCCCCAAGACTCTTCAAGGCAAAAATATTTTCATTCCTTATTTTGGTACAATATACCTGAACATAAAATGTACTATTTTTAAGTGTACAGCTCAGAGGTATTAACTGTATTCACACCGTTGGGCCATCATCACCACAGGGCCTCTTCAGAACTTTCTTCCCAAACTGAAACTTGCATTTATTAAATGGTAACTCCCCATGTTCCCCTCCCACATGGGCCCTGGAAATCGCCATTCTACTTTCTGTCTCTATGAATTTGAAAAAGTTGATTTCTACGAGCAAAAGTTTGGAAGCAGTTTTTTGTAAAGAGAGCAGGTATCTCTTTAATGAAGCTGTGTTCTGTGGAAAGAGAAAATGGTGTGATGCCTTGAAGTCATTATTTATAGATAAAAGAAATAGTGGGCAATTGGGTACCACCCACTCACTATGTTCCATGACGTCTATTATAGGCAGAGAATTTTTTGTGGGCCTTTCCAAAAGAACAAATCAACGAGGTGCTGAAATCTTGGCTGATACTTTTAAGGTAGGTAAAAGATAATTTATGCCTGGTACAAAGCAATTAATTAATAAATATTCATCGACCCATTGAATCACTGTCATGAGTAATAGTGTTTATATTTCACTGGCTTTGTAAAATAATTTCTAATATTTTTATATTTGTTAGAAGCTATTAAATTCAAATTTCTCAATAAATCAGCTTCATTGGGCCCCCACAGGAGCAAGAAAGATAGCATGGGCCTGTTCTGCTTTCTCCAAGTGGATGATCATAAAATCACCAGGCAGATGTTTCTGGCACAATTGGCAAAAAAAAAAAAAACAACTCTGGGCCAGACACAGTAGCTAGCACCTATAATCCTAGCATTCTGGGAGACCGAGGCTAGTGGATTGCTTGAGCTCAGGAGTTCAAGACCAGCCTCAGCAAGAGCAAGACCCCTACTCTACTAAAAATAGAAAAATTAGCCTGGCATGGTGGTGCATGCCTGTAGTCTCAGCTACTCAGGAGGCTGGGACAGGAGGATGATTTGAGCCCAGGAGTTTCAGATTGCTGTGAGCTAGGCTGATGCCATGGCACTCCAGTTGAGTGAACCTCTGTCTCAAAAAAAATTAATTAAAGTAAACCAATAAATAAATAATCTAGAGACCTAATTGACTGGGATCTAAAATCTAGATTTTTCAGATTGGAGGCAGGGGTCACGGATACTCATGTGCCTACTCTGTGCTATATATAAACTGTCCTAGGCATTGCCCGTCCTTCCTCCAGGTCACTTTATTCTATTGATCACTAACAGATTGGCTTCCTGACTGCTTAGGAGAGGGTCTAACTCCCAAGAAGCTCTGTTCCTTGTGAGGACATGAGGCTCCCGCTGAGCCCCAATTTGCACTGGATATTCAAGCACACCCTCCCAGCGTAGCCCCCTCCATAGATCGAAGGGCCAGCAAAGATGTTGCATCAGCCGCACATCTGGAAGGAAGCTCTGTGCTTTCTTCTTAGAAGCAGTCTTCATTTAACTGCCCAAACCCAAACCTGTGGATCCCAGTTTTGCCTCCAGATATTCAGGGCCCCTGACAGCTTTCAGAGCAGCAGCTGTGGCTCAGGCAAGTTTTGAATCAGGTTGAGACTCATTCTGTGATACTGACGTGCTTGTTTTTCTGCTGTCTCCCCAGGACTATGCAGTCTCCACAGTCCCCATGACTGATGCTTTGCATTTGAAGAGTTTCTGCAGCATGGCTGGGCCTAACCTCATTGCAATCGGGTCTAGTGAACCTGCACAGAAGGCCCTCAAGGTAACCACACAGCTGTGCTCCTGCTCAACGCAGCAGGCAGCGCCTGCCACGGGTTATTCTAATTCCGTCAGTTGGGCGAGCAGCAAGCGAAGTTGGCAGGGAGTGAACAGACTGGTACTTGAGCTTCTGTGATTTGCACTGTTGTGACTTGGCATTCGTTAGGAACCACAAACACATTAGTGTAGGAAGAACTCCTCACTGGGGAAGCATTTGTAGTCACGCACCAGGTTTCCTGAAAGGCCATGATTCGGAGTGATGAACACCAAACTCACCACAGTTACTCCCTCCGGGGAGGGCAAGGCGGGCCACCAGGCAGAGCTCCTTGTAATGGTTTCTCTCTCACGGGCTGTTGGTACACAAGTGTGTGTTCTGTTATTCTTATCCTTTCAGTGTGTCTGGGCAATTGAATAATCTTTGAGAAAGCCATGATTCAGAAGTACCTAGAGAGCTTGACATCTTCAGGTACTTTTGGAATAGTAAAATTTTATAACAGGAGATTTCCTCATTTTATAGAGGAAAATAGGAACACCCAGAAAAGTTAGTCTTGCCCAGGTCACACAGCTAGATCAACAGTGGGAGCTGCTGGGGGTGGAGACCTCCGTGCTACAGCGCCACCTAGTTTCCTTCTCTGTAACTCCCTCTCCGCCAGGTGATCTGGACTCCCCATGAGGAGAGTGCTTGACTCGTGGGGCTCCTTAACCAGTACCTGCTGGAGAGATGAATCAATGGAATGATTTCCATTTTGCAGATGAGAAAGTGGTATCAAGCAACTCACCCCAGGTCACAGGCTAATCCTGAACAGGGGGCAACAACTGCAGCCCTTTCCTCCTAGCTGGCCCATGACTTTTTTTTTCCATTTATTTATTTTTTTTATTAAATCATAGCTGTGCACATTAATGCAGTCATGGGGTACAATGTGCTGGTTTTATATACCATTTGAAATATTTTCATCAAACTGGTTAACATAGCCTTCACCGCATTTTCTTTATCCATGACTTTTTAAAGGGCTCAAACCAGAAATCCCTCTTAGACCAAGAGAGCACATCTGCATGCAGGTGGCATGCAGCTCGTTTGTCTGCTAATTTGTCTACTGGTCCAAACTTCTGTGCTAAGCTTGGTGAGATTTGGCTGGCGCAATCATTGCCTTGAGCTGAACTTTCCCTCTCGTCGTTTGCAGCTCCTTCAGCTAGCTCACCGGGACTTTCTTCCCCTTTTCCCAAGCTGGATTTCAATTGCATTTATTAACTATTGCAGAACAGTCTCTCACAATTTGGTTGTATGATGGTAGTTAGAAAACATCTCTGGTTCCGCTTCATCTGGAAGCCTATGTCAGCTTTCTGCATATAAAAAAGATGACGTCTTGAAAGCATGTGATGAACCATGTCACTCCGGGGATCTGGGAAGATGATTGTCCTCCTTAAAGACTAGCTGCAGTATCTATCCATGGCCAGTAGGTTGGTCTGCACTTGTCTGAAATTGGTTGGGAAGGAGAGGGCTTAAGCTGCCCTATCCATGTTCTTGTGTGCAGTAGCAGAAAGAACCCTTTCTGGGGGCAAACTAGAAAAAGTAGCCTCTCTGCCATTCTGAGTAGATTAGAGCCCCGACCCAAATAGCTTAGTCCCTACTTCAATAGGTCCCTAACTCAAAAAATAGTGTAGAAAAACTAATACGTAATAAGGTAAGAGGTGATATAATATGGTTAGTTGGCTCTGTTACTCATATCTGAAGTAGGCTCTAACTGCTCTTCAAAGTTCAGAGGAGAGGAGTGAGCGCCACAAGAGATAGGCAATCTAAAAGCTTTGTGGAGAAAAATAGGGTTAGACGTGAGTCTTAAAGGATGGGTGTCGCTTGGCAGGGTGGGGTTCTGTGAGAGAGCATTCTCAGGTGGGGACATGGCACAAGCACAGACTAAGCAAAGAACACGTATGAAATGGGAGCAAACCAGCTCCACTAATAAAGGATTCTCTTATGGGATTCTGGAGGTGTCACTGGATGCAAGTGAGGTCTGAAGAGAAAGGAACTTCAAAGTGAGGAAAATAAGAGTATCACCACAAAGCAGGAGTCTGAGCTCCCATAGGTGTTTGAGCAGGAGGCCCTGAATGGTTCAGAAATGTTGGACCAACATTCCTTTGGCAAAAAAATGAAAGGGAAAGACCCTGATGTCAGAAGACCACTGATGACCTAGAAACAGAAAGCCACGCCCCAGTCTATTGCATGCCTTGGCAGCCCACCTGCCCTTCTCCACTCGTCCCTCCCTTCCCATGGCCAAGTTCTCTAAGACCGTGAATCTATATCATGAGTAATGGCGTTTGTATTTCACTGGCTTTGTAAAATAATTCCTAATAGTTTTACATTTGCTGGAAGCTATTAAATTCAAATTTCTAAGACCACAGCTCTTCAGAGCATCCTCTGAGGACTCTGTCATCCTCCTTCCTGTGGAGTTCATTTGAGTTAGTGTTAATAGTGATGTCTGTTCTCTACTTGAAACCTTCTGTGTCAGAAGCTATAAATAATCCTCACTAGCTAGAAAAGCATTCTTTGGGGATCGTTTTTTCCATCAGCAAATGTACTGCCTAACCATGGGCCTGCGGAGTTGGCAAATGCTTGCCCACCGTGTTCCTCACATCCAAACATGTCCTCTTACCTTGTAGTGGAAGCAGGACGACAGACTGAACTGGATAATGATGAGATCTCTCTGAGGGAAGAGTCTCAAATTGGAATTAGGTAGGCTGGGGAAGCTCCGAATTTAGGTGAAATGAGCTGCTTACTTGAGAACAGTTTGGCTCCTGAGTTAGAACCATCAATAAAGTTGATCATGGGTAAGTCCTATGACTAATGCAATAAATGCATTATTGGGTTTTTTTTCCCTACTTACAAGTGAAAATACTGCAATCTAATGATCCTATTTTAAATAGGATCTCATGGTTCCAGTACCAGGTTTTCTCTTGCCCCAGTGCCCACCCCATTCTATACCCATTCTCTTTTTGTTGGAAAATGTTTCCTAATTAATTTATTATGGATTGATTCTAGCTGAGCTTCCTCTCCTCCTCCCCTCTTTCTTTTTCTTTCCTTTTCCCATTATTTGCTGGTATCCAGGATCTGACCAGTCTTAGCAGAGGTTTGAGTTTGGTCCCAGGTGCCTAGTTTTTCCCTTGTAAACTTTGATGTCTCTGTTCCTGTTTCTGTACAGATGTCTCTGGCCACTTGGGCATCTTTTACAAGCCACATTTAATATTTAAACAAAGGTGTATTGTGTCTTCCTGTGCCATACATGGAAATCTTGAGCACCTCTCACATCTGTCACTGCTGTCTGCGTGCTTGATTCCTTCAGAGGCTAAAGGCTACTTCATACATATTCATGTAAAGCTGACAACCCAAGGGTTGCTGGGTAGTTTTATTGCATATGAAACACTTTATGATGAGTTGGAGTCTATTTTTGGTTAATGAAGTGGGTCCTGATGGAGATGGTTGTCATACACATCAATATCATAGTAGACTGTATATTTAAATGAAATCAACCATCTAGGAGGATTTTATCAACTATCTGCTACAAAGCCCAGAACACGGTATGCTCAAGGTGCCAACCTAGGGAAGGAGGAAAGGATGAAGTATTATTACCGCATTTAACCATCCATATGGCTAGTGTACTGGACATGGGGTTGATTTGTACAAATTCCTACAGATATTTGACGTCAAACCTGATCCTAGAAATACTATTAATTAACCAAGATTAGTCTTTAGTGCAACTTACACTTTCTATGATTTCTCTCCCACCCATTCCCTCATTCCCTTTATGCCCCAGGACAACTATCACCTTCATCCTGCCCCTCTACCTGTAAAAGAAAAAAAAAATGTAAGATAAATTAAATCATGCACAGGCATTAGACCTGCTTGTACGCTTCCAGAAGGAATGTTTGCCTTTTCAAAGTGAGAGCCCCCGTTGCTCCACAGCTGGAACTGCCGCTCACAAACATAATTTGAGCCAAAGAAGCCAGCCTGCAAAGAATACATATTCTATTCTTTTACTGGTACAAAAGTGAACAAGAGGCAAAAATCTATCCTATGCTGTTAAAAGTCAGAACAGTGATTATTTTAAGGAGGGAAAGCGTCCTGGGGCAAAGGGCCGCTTTGGATGTTAGACCTCCTATGTTATACTTTGTACCTTATAACATCGATTTTTTAAAGTTTAGGAAAAATATACATATTACCATATTGAGAGTGGGCTACAATTGACATACAGAAATAATTCTGCAATAGCTAGATGTGTCTAGCTCCCAAACCCTGCTTTCCCCCTCCACACCATGAGTATATTTGTATCATATCTCACCTCCCTCTTTTTCTGGATCCATTCCCAAACTGCCTTCCTTTCCAAGAACCTGGATTAATCACATGGTATCTGTCACAGAAGGGTACAAGTGAATCTTTCTATGAGTAGAATATGAATGTTTTGACATAATAACTAGGAAAGTTACATGAAGGCTATGTTAACCAGTTTGATGGAAGTGTCTTGGATTGTGTATGAAAACACCACACTGTACCCCCAAAGTGCATCA